CCCTACCCTATTGACTGCAACCTCCGTGTTTATTATTGCCTTCATCGCTGCTCCTCCTGTGGACATCGATGGTATTCGTGAGCCTGTTTCTGGTTCTTTGCTGTATGGTAACAACATCATCTCTGGTGCTATTATCCCTACCTCTGCTGCCATTGGTCTTCACTTCTACCCTATCTGGGAGGCTGCTTCCCTTGATGAATGGCTTTACAACGGCGGCCCTTACGAGAGTGCGAACTGAATCTCTTCTTGGCGCTGCTAGGCGAACCTAGCTTGCATTGCAACCAATATGCATAAGCCTAACACCTGACCGGAAGACAAGGACCAAGAGGTCTTTGTTTAACAAGTGAATATCAGACTGCTTCAACATAGGTTTCCTTTGTTGGGCTAGGCCGAATTGACTTAGTAAGGGACTGAAGCATGGTGAAAGTCAGAGAACAAACCTTATTCTATTTTGAAAATCTCTGCAAAGGTAGGGAGATACGACTAAAGTTAGACAACTTGAATCTTAGATACAACCTGAGACTTGGGACGCTTGCGTGTTTTTTTACAAAAACATTTGTAGTATCTTTCAATGTTTATCTCGTGCATTGAAATGCTCTTTCATTGAGAAAAGAGGTTGCATACTGCGGGAAAGCCATTCAAACGGCTAAAAGTATCAAAAAAGAGGTCTACGGTCTCCACAATTGCCAAGAAGGTCAATCAGTTATGCTGTCAAAAGAAAGCCACATTTCGATATTGAAACCTCAAATGAAGGTTAACTTACGACAGAAGAGTTCACAAACGAATCAAACCTTTTTTGAATTGAGATTCAAAAAGGTTGTTTTTTTGGATGCTAAACAGCACTTATCCAAGAACACAAATGGTGAATAGAGTGCAGATTATCAAATAACTTAGATTCGTCAAAAAATGAGTGCACTTAAAAAACTTGATCGAATACGCCTTCAAAACAAACGTTATCAAGGACTTTTTGACAAAGATTCTTATACTTTGCTCTGTAGAGAAGATTTATGGCTTTTCGTACAAGAAAAGAATCATTGCTTTTACAAAAACATGATTGATGAGCAATCTGTTATTCTCAATGATCTGACTTTTAGTCAAATTGAGTTGATTAAAAAATCAAATTCTTTCAATACAAGCAATAAACAAACTTATAGAAAAAAATATTTACTGTGTGAAACAATCCTTATCATTTTTGATTTATATTACAAGTCTTTTTCTCGATCATTGATTTTTAAGAATCAAGCAAATTTCAATTCTCATATAGTATTTGAACGCATAGGTAAAAATTGGAAGAGTGTCAAATGGATTATTCAAGCAGATTTTCAAAATAGCCAAGGACTCTTGCAAAATTGCATAAACTTGCTTCAAAAACGGGTGCAAGATCCTTTTTTTTTGCGTATATTGATTTCAATATTGAATACTAAACAAGTCAATTCATCTCATTATTGGTTTCAGATAGTAATCATTCGACTTTCTATTTTTTTCAATAATATATATTTGTATGAACTTGATATGCTTCTGTTTTGGATACAACATGGAAACAAAAAAATAGAATTTCAATTTATACCATCTATATTACAACATTCGTCAAGAAATCTCAATACAAGAGAAAAAAACCTCTTCAAGCATTTTGTAACAAAGATAGTATATGTGCGGCATGCAGGCAGCTGGATGATTGGAACAAATGGGCCTATTTCGCTTATAAAAGCTTTATTTCTTCAAGTCCATCAGTTTTTGAACGAACGATTAATGCTAAGGTCTGAGGTGAACAAGGCAAAAGTTATCAATCTTTATGCCAACTCTCTTTCTTTTGCAGGTTATAAAATACTACTCAATAATCGTTTCGATTTGCAATTTGAGTTGCCTTTGGAAAAGATGCTTACTAGTCTAAGTTTAGAAGGGTTTTGTGATAAGTCTGGCCAGCCGATGCCAAAGAAAGAATGGGCATCAGAACAAGATTGGTTGATTGTTTCTGCTTTTAATAATGTAATTTCTCAAATTGGGAGTTATTGGGGTCCAGCTTTGAATCAAGATATTTTACAGCGAATAAAGCACACTCTATATATCTCATGCGCTAAAACTCTTGCTCATAAGCATCGAACTACAGCAAGGCAAATCTTTATAAAATATGGTAAAGATCTTGCAATCACTCATCCAGTCAATTCGCATACCAAAGTAAAAATCAATCTAGAAAAGATAGAAAAAGCATCATGGGTGCAAACTCGAAGGTATTTTACTCAATATGATTCCTTTTCAAATATTGTTTGAAAAAAGGAAAACGAGAGAATTCAAAGTAAAAAAATCGAATAGGCAATGATTATAAGCTTCTTTCTTTACTGATATATATTTTATTTCATTTGACTGTCAAAATTTTTTATGGGTTTTTCAACCTCTCCATCCGTTTTATCTTGCTTGAAATAGCTCAAGCTGTTTTATTCAGTTACAATGGTATTCGAAATCCTGTTACCTTTTTGTTGGTCATTTGTATGCAATGGCTCAGTTATTACTGTTTGAGGCTCTACGAGAAGCTATATTAGAGGAAATGGAGAGAGATTGCCGAGTCTTTGTGATGGGAGAAGACGTGGGCCACTACGGGGGTTCGTACAAAGTAACAAAAGGATTAGCAGAGAAGTACGGTGATTGGCGATTGTTGGATACTCCAATCGCAGAAAATAGTTTTACTGGGTTAGCAATTGGTGCAGCAATGACGGGCCTTCGTCCTATTGTTGAGGGGATGAATATGGGCTTTTTACTACTTGCTTTCAACCAAATTGCAAACAATGCAGGTATGTTGCACTACACTTCAGGTGGGAACTTTACCACACCTTTAGTCATTCGAGGCCCGGGCGGAGTAGGAAGGCAACTCGGTGCAGAGCATTCTCAGCGGTTAGAATCTTACTTTCAATCCGTGCCTGGCTTACAAATGGTTGCTTGCTCTACTCCTGTGAACGGTAAAGGGTTATTAAAGTCTGCAATCCGAAGTCAAAACCCCGTTCTTTTTTTCGAACATGTGCTCTTGTATAACATTAAACAGCCTATCCCAACTGGAGAGAATTTGTCGAGTTTAGAAAGAGCGGAAGTAGTCCGTGAAGGGAAGGACGTGACTCTCTTGACTTACTCTCGTATGAGACACTATGTGATCCAAGCAGCACGAATACTAGTAAGTCAGGGATACGATCCCGAAGTCATTGATCTAGTATCGTTAAAGCCATTAGATATGGGGACCATCGCGCGATCAATTCAAAAAACTCATCGTGCTATCATTGTAGAAGAGTGTATGCGTACGGGAGGAATTGGTGCAACCCTACGTGCTAGCATTATGGAATATTTATTTGATGAGTTAGACGGACCAGTTGTTTGTTTGTCATCTCAAGATGTCCCGACTCCTTACAGTGGTCTGCTTGAAGACATGACTGTTGTTCAGCCAGGACAAATCGTTCAAGCAGTAAAGTCAATGTGCACAAAAGAATCGGTTCAATAATTCTTGTTTTTTATTCTTTAGTCCATAAATACAACAAAAAGTCGTTTATCAATAGATAGGTAGGAAGAACTGCCAATATAACAAAAAAGTGCATATCAATATGTTTTATAGACTTGTTTGAAAAAAAAAAAGAATAAAAAACCTCTCTGTTTTTAGCTCTTTTCAAATGAAATTATAAACGTTCTTTTATTGTATCATGGCTTATTATCAGAAGCAACAGCTATAAAGAAAAACAAATAGATGATGAAAAATTTGTTTCAAAAAACAAGAAAAAGTAGAATTCAATATTCTCTTTCCAACTCAATCAAAGCTTGGTAGTTTTGAGCTGATCAGTTCCGTAAGTTGTCTTTTTTGCGATAGTATTCTTTTTTATACAGTTATAAAGAGCAATAGACTGCATCATTTGTTTTTCAAAACAATCAAACGGATTCAAATTGACATGATCTTGTAAATGGAATCATAAAAAGCTTTCTCCTTTCTCATGGTACACTTATTACCTGATGGGGTGACACAAAGGTCAACCGTGGCCTTGCCCTGAATTATGCTCTACACCAAGACCCTATTTATCGCAAGGGCCTACAGCGGGTATCTTGCGCGAAAAAAAAAGAGGCTTATGACTGCATCCTATCTCTTTCCTGTGCTTGTGCCTCTTGTGGGGCTTGTTTTTCCTGCTCTTGCTATGGCAACTCTTTTTCTTTTCATTGAAGGGGATGAGGTAGTATAAGCAGTACAAGGCCGCATCCTTTTTTTTGGGGTGCGGCTTTGTAAATATCAAAAATGAAGGTTCATATGGAACAACAGCTTGTTCAAGGGGTACGACGGGATGTTATTTTCGGGTCAAGGGCGAAAGAGAATTTCGTTTTAGCTTGGTTGATGTGCTTAGGAGGAGGATGTTTTTTGACCATTGGCATAGCAACCTATCTAGGTCAACCCGTTTTGTTTATGCTTTCAAAAGCTCCTTTGACCTTTTTACCTCAGGGATTGGTTATGGGATTTTATGGGATTTTTGCTTTGTTTTTAGGACTTTATTTATGGGTTGTTGTATGGTGGAATATAGGGGGAGGCATGAACGAATTTGACTGCCAAAGAGGCCGCATCTCAATATTCCGATGGGGCTTTCCAGGCATCAATAGACGGATCCATTTCGCCTGTCAGTTGCAAGAAATAGAAGCTGTGCAGATAGAGAGTCGAGGAGGCTTGTGGCCCTTTTCTTTGGCTTATCTTAAGCGTAGGGGTAGGGTATCTGTTCCTCTTGGAGAGCTTGCTCGGGGTGGTAGTTCTCAAGAAGCAGAGGACGAGGCTGCAGAGCTTGCGCAATTCTTAGGAGTGCCTGTGGAAACGGGTTTCAAGCGCTAGCTTTGCAGGCTTTGAAAAATAAGAAGTTGGCGTCTGTATTTTCAATGAAACCTTTATTTTTTTTTAAGAAACTTGCATGACATAAAATCAACAATTCTTTTGATTATTAAGATGCAAAATAAAAAAACATATAGTTTCTAGAATTTCTAAAACCTTGTTTGTATGCCGAGAACCAGGATTGAACTGGTGACACGGGGATTTTCAGTCCCATGCTCTACCATCTGAGCTATCTCGGCTTTTGATCCTATTATACTATTATACAACGTAAATCAATAAATGAGTCCCATTGCTATCAAACTCATTGATTTGATGTTATTCTTTTATTACCTTGCTTGTATAATCAAAAGCTAAAGAAAGGAGGATTGAATGACTTGGGCTTTTCCTCATATGAAGCCGCCTGTTTCGTATGTACGTTCTATTCAAGAGCAGAAATGAAGGCCTATTCACGATCCATTTCTTCAACAACAAAACTTTCAATACACTCAATCTCTATCCTCGGATTATAAAACTACTGTAAAATGTAAAAAATTCTCTTTTTTTTGAACCCCCGAATAAAAACAAAGAATCTCGTTTCAATTTTGACCACTGGAAACCACCGGAAAACAATGTTCAAGCACGCGAATAAGAGGAGCAAGGAAAAGAAACTATCCGCGCTGTTGTAGCTGGGGTAGTAAACAAGTATTTTCAAATCCAAATCCCAGGCAAAAAACAAATGAATAATCTTGAATTACAATCTTTAGAAATATTAGCAAATAGGCAAAAAATTTTTAACTTAGATTTTTTACGTTGTGAAAAAAGAACAAAAATGCGATTGATAAAATAAATACACAATCGTTAAAAAACATTAAGAAATTGAGGTGAATGTTTGGGGAACTGTTTGACTTTTCTTACTTGTGTACAGCATTCTTCTCTTATTTTCTCTTAATACACCTAAAAAAATGGCTCCATATGAAGAGGGAAGCAACTTGACTTAGCGCCTTTTATGCGGTATGATATGGAACTAGTCATGAGGAACGAGAGATTGGAAGGGAGCCCAATGGCTGTGGCTCTCTATGAGAGTTTGATCCTGGCTCAGGATGAACGCTAGCGGTTTGCCTAACACATGCAAGTTGCACGGCGCCATGCCTCTCGAGGAATGGCGGAGTGGCGGACGGGTGAGGAACGCGTAAGGACCTGCCCCTGGGAGGGGGATAACAGCTGGAAACGGCTGCTAATACCCCATATCCTGAGGAGGGAAAGGAGAGATCCGCCCAGGGAGGGGCTTGCGTCTGATTAGCTAGTTGGGGGGGTAATGGCCTCCCAAGGCAACGATCAGTTGCTGGTCTGAGAGGATGATCAGCCACACTGGGACTGAGACACGGCCCAGACTCCTACGGGAGGCAGCAGTGAGGAATCTTCCGCAATGGGCGAAAGCCTGACGGGGCAATGCCGCGTGGAGGATGAAGGCCCAATGGGTCGTAAACTTCTTTAGATCAGAGACGAAGAGATGACGGTACCTGAAGAACTAAGCATCGGCTAAACCCCGTGCCAGCAGCCGCGGTAAGACGGGGGATGCGAGCGTTATCCGGAATGATTGGGCGTAAAGGGTCCGCAGGTGGCCCGGTCAGTCCGCTGTCAAAACCTGGGGCTCAACCCTGGAGAGGCGGCGGAGACCACCGGGCTTGAGTCCGGTAGGGGCAGAGGGAATTCCCGGTGGAGCGGTGAAATGCGTAGAGATCGGGAAGAACGCCAAGGGCGAAGGCACTCTGCTAGGCCTGATTTCGCGACTGACACTCAGGGACGAGAGCCAGGGGAGCGAATGGGATTAGATACCCCAGTAGTCCTGGCCGTAAACGATGGATACCAAGCCCTGCGCGTATCGACCCGGGCAGGGCTGTAGCTAACGCATGAAGTATCCCGCCTGGGGAGTACGCTCGCAAGAGTGAAACTCAAAGGAATTGACGGGAGCCCGCACAAGCGGTGGAGCATGTGGTTTAATTCGATGCAACGCGAAGAACCTTACCAGGGCTTGACATGCCGCGAACCCCCCTGAGAGGGGGGGGTGCCTTCGGGAGCGCGGACACAGGTGGTGCATGGCTGTCGTCAGCTCGTGTCGTAAGATGTTGGGTTCAGTCCCGCAACGAGCGCAACCCCCGTCTCTAGTTGCCCACAATTCGGCACCCTAGAGAGACCGCCGGTGTTAAGCCGGAGGAAGGTGGGGATGAGGTCAAGTCAACATGCCCCTTTTGCCCTGGGCGACACACGTGCTACAATGGCCGGGACAAAGAGATGCGACCCCGCAAGGGCCAGCCTGACCTCGTAAACCCGGCCTCAGTTCGGATTGTAGGCTGCAACCCGCCTACATGAAGGAGGAATCGCTAGTAATCACCGGTCAGCCATACGGTGGTGAATCCGTTCCCGGGCTTTGCACACACCGCCCGTCACACTATGGGAATCGGCCATGCCCCAAGTCGTTACCCCAACCCGTAGGGAGGGGGATGCCAAAGGCAGGGCTGGTGACTAAAGTGAAGTCGTAACAAGGTAGCCGTACTGGAAGGTGTGGCTGGATCACCTCCTTCTTAGGGAGACATTGGGGTTCAAAACCCTCATCCTAGGCCGATCAGAACCCTCCCACGGGTAGCACGCCCTTCTCTCACACATACTATCAATCACAATATTGATTGAAGCCAATCCCCGTGGTTGGTTAGAATACTTGGGCTATTAGCTCAGTGGTTAGAGCGCGCCCCTGATAAGTGCGCCGCAAGAGGTGAGCCCAGGGTGGATCTCAGTTTCCTTTGAGAAAAGGTTTGAGGCCTTGCCAGCGCCTGACCGGGCCAAGGATCCTAGGGACCCTAGCATGGCGCAAGAGCAGAGCAGTCGGGGCATGGAAAACATTGAATAGCAAACTGAAAAATAAGATGAGAAAAAGAATAGAGTAATATCTTTTCTTTCCTTCTTCCCCCTATGGCGGGATATCGGTGCTGAGAATCCAGGGCTTACTTATCCGTCCCAGGATCTATGGTCATCTCTTGGCTCACTCCACTCTTTTTTTATTTTTTTACAGGCAGGCTATACCCTCGACTGCATTCCCATGGGCTTTTCACTGCGGGATCCCTTTCTGAATAAGGGACGGCGACATCACACTTTGGAGGTTTTCTTTTTCCTTAAAACATTGAGAATGAATGGAAATGGATCTTTTCAAAAAAGATGTCAGGGTAGTCTATTTCGAATCAAATAGATACCTAGAGAGCGCAGTACGGCGAAAAGCTGTATGTTGTGCTTGAGGAACTTTCTTAGAATGAGAAGTTCCACGGGCGAGGCCTCTGGTTCAAATCCAGAATGGCCCATCCGCGATTTGTGTGGTTAGTAGGCCTTCCTTCCAACTTTCAGTTGGAAAAACTGTTTGGCCGGAGGAAAAAAAGAGAAATTCTTTTGTCTATTTTTTCCTATTGACTGGGGGGTATAGCTCAGTTGGTAGAGCGCTGCCCTTGCAATGGTGCCGTACGAATGACTCCTTTATAGGAGTCTTAGCTTTTCTACGCGGATTCAGCCAAATGAAAAAGTGAGCTTCATACCCAACGCCTTACCTCCCTTCCAAGTAGACGGGATGGGGACTATCACATGGCGTGTATCTGTTTCCAGCAAAGCCCCTTGTTAAAAAGAATTTGATGAAGCAGGTGGAAGAATGATGGGAGGTCAAGAATATTCTGTGTGAGTCGCAGGTTCAAAGGTGTTAGTAAGGCCAGGCAGGCCTTTCCAGAATGGAAATTATGGATGGGGGGTGGGCGGCCCCACACCTGTGCAAGCGGGGCGGTATACCCATTCCCTGAGTAAGCATCTAGGCTCGTCACGGAGGCTTGTTCCCCCACCTTGCTCCGCGTAGCAAAGGACAACGGGATTGCCTAAAGGGGCTATTTTTGCCCTACGGTTTCAGAGGGGCCACCTCAAAGAGAACGCGTGCGGCACCAAGCTGTGCGTATCCTTGGGAGAAGGCCTTGAGGTTGGTATAGGGTAGACTGTCGTTTGCTCAATGCTTTCCAAAGAGCTCACCATGGCACGAGCTGTCCGGTGTGTTCGGGGGGGAACGTATGTATTATTCTGGCTGTTAAGGCAGATAAACTATGCACACGTTTCCTCATGGCAGATGTCAGCGGTTCGAGCCCGCTTACCTCCATACCTTTTGTGTTTTTTTCTTCTCTCTCCCTCTCTTTTGGGAGGGAGGGGTTTCTTTTTTGCTTTTTTGTATGAGAAGTATATTTTATGAAAGGTGAAAATAAAAACTGTCTTGATCTAAAAACAAATCAATCTAAGAGATTAGAATCAGGAAAAAGCTTTGTAAGACTCGATCCGTCTATTCAAGACAGCCCAAATGTCTCTTCTTTTCAAGAGGAGACAAAGAATTCTTTTTCTTCATTTTTGTTGATTTCGTTGGAGATAGGCCTGAGAGGTTTCGTAGTCTCGGTACTTTCTATTTTGTTGTTTAAGCTACAGCAGGTGTGTGCAACACCTTTGCCACTTGTAGCTGGGACGACTGCTCAATTGAATCTTACACAAACCCCCGAGACCTCGATTGTTCCACTAACAGTAGATGCTTCCATTCCACTATCGCACTCTATTTTTCTAAATAGAATATGTTTGGCAACATTGGCTCGGCCCACCATGTTTTGAAGTCTGTTTGTTGATGATCGTCGACGTTCATGGTTCGATTGGTCTATCCATAGAAACCTACCATCCAATAGCAAAAACACTCGTAATAAAATAATAAAAGAGGGGTTATAGCATCTTTGGGAGACGACAATGCGGCGAATAGCTTGTTTGATATGAATGAGCAATTGAATGTGATAACTTGGTCTGAGAATAGACAAAAATGAGTCATTATTACCACTTTGTTGGTAATTATTAGTTATTAATCGCAATTTCCCGTCCGGTATAGAATATGTTGCCACGCCTATTCAAAATTTTTAGTAAGAATTTACCGGCTTTAAAAGAACCCGCATTCACTATAGAAAGTGGAGTGAATATTTTGAAAGTAGCAGTAGAGGCGATAGAAAAACGCTCTAATATACAAACAAAAGGAAAAATGATAATTCCTTTCGATGTGCAAAAACAAGCAGACTAAGTGCTCCCAGATATAAAAAGAATGAGAGTTTGCGATCAACTGTTCAAAAGGGAAAATTTCGAAACATAGTCAACGGAGAATTCAATTTTGACGGCAGCTCGCATCGGTTTATGGCGCTTCAAGGTCTATGGACTCTAGATCTTTTTGAAGACTTCCAAATGATTTTCGGTACGTATATTTCTCAACCTTTCATTGATTACGAAGAGTTCCTTTCTTTATGGTCTACAGACATCGCAATCGCTCTTGGTAAAAAACTAGACGAAACGATCCAGAAGCAGACTTAGAGGGAATAATTGAAGAGTTGATCGATGAGGGGTGAGTATGCAAATTGTGGGGTTTTCCTTGATAACACTTGACTTTGCTTCAAAATCAATTGTGCGAGCTGTGCGTTGCGCTGGTGGTGGAACGTCCCTTTGCTTGACAACTTGAGAAGGGGCCTTTATATTATGCAAGTAGAAAGAACACGCTCTTTCGACTCGCATATGCAAGTTTTTTGAGCGATTCTTTCTCTATGGCATACGATTTGTTTTAGCGTGGCCTTCGGGCGATGAAGGTTCAAGGGAAGAGGGGCTTACGGTGGATACCTAGGCATTCAGAGGCGAAGAAGGGCGTCGTGGCCGACGAAATGCTCCGGGGAGCTGGGATTGTGTGAGGATCCGGAGATTCCCGAATGGGGTAACCCCAATGTACTCGTGGGCTTTTGGCTTGCGAGGGGCAACCTGGCGAACTGAAACATCTTAGTAGCCAGAGGAAGAGAAAGCAAACGCGATTCCCCCAGTAGCGGCGAGCGAAGAGGGAACAGCCTAAACCGGTTGATCCGGGGTTGTGGGAGGGCAGTTAGGGTGTTTCTTCGCTAGACGAAGCGGTTGAGTTCCGCACCGCAGATGGTGAGAGTCCAGTAGTCAAAAGCGTCGTTTCGCCCTTGTCCCAACCCGAGTAGCATGGGGCACGTGAAATCCCGTGTGAATCTGCGAGGACCACCTCGTAAGGCTAAATACTCCTGGATGACCGATAGCGAACTAGTACCGTGAGGGAAGGGTGAAAAGAACCCTGGAGAGGGAGTGAAAAAGACCATGAAACCGTAAGCTTACAAGCGGTGGGAGGGGGCTTGAACCCCTGACCGCGTGCCTGTTGAAGAATGAGCCGGCGACTCATAGGCGGTGGCACGGCTAAGGCGATGCACGCCGAAACCGTAGCGAAAGCAAGTCTGACAAGGGCCCATGTCATCGTTTATGGACCCGAACCCGAGTGATCTAACCATGGCCAGGGTGAAGCTTTGGTGAGACTGAGTGGAGGCCCGTACCGACCGATGTTGAAAGATCGGCGGATGAGCTGTGGTTAGGGGTGAAATGCCAATCGAACTCGGAGCTAGCTGGTTCTCCCCGAAATGCGTTGAGGCGCAGCGGTGTTCGAGGGTGGGCCAGGGGTAAAGCACTGTTTCGGTGCGGGCTGCGAGAGCGGTACCAAATCGAGGCAAACTCTGAATACTGGCCCTGCTTGCCGAACACCAGTGAGACGAAGGGGGATAAGCTTCTTTGTCGAGAGGGGAACAGCCCAGACCATCGGCTAAGGCCCCCAAATGGCCGCTAAGTGGCAAAGGATGTGGGAGTGCTCAGACAGCCAGGAGGTTTGCCTAGAAGCAGCCACCCTTTAAAGAGTGCGTAATAGCTCACTGATCAAGCGCTCCCGCGCCAAAGATGAACGGGACTCAAGCGGCCTGCCGAGGCCATGGGATGTAAAAAGCATCGGTAGGGGAGCGTTCCGCGGCAGGTTGAAGCGTAAGCGAGAGCAGGCGTGGACGAGGCGGAAGTGAGAATGTCGGCTTGAGTAACGCAAACACTGGTGAGAATCCAGTGCCCCGAAAACCCAAGGGTTCCCCTGGAAGGCTCGTCCACGGGGGGTGAGTCAGGGCCTAAGGTGAGGCCGAAGGGCGCAGCCGATGGACAACAGGCATACATTCCTGTACCTCTCCGGGCTGGGGACGAGGGACGGAGCAGGCTCGGTTGGCCGAGGGATGGTATCTCGGTTGAAGGGCTCAAGGCGCGATGGGGGCAGTGATCCTGGCCCTAGCTAAGGCCCGAGTTAGTAAAGCGTCAAGGCGCTGAAGAAACCTATGCCATGCTTCCAAGAAAAGCTCGTACCTCTTCAGGCTCGGAGGGCCTGTACCCGAGACCGACACAGGTGGGTGGGTAGAGAATACCTAGGGGCGCGAGGCAACCCTCTCTAAGGAACTCGGCAAAATAGCCTCGTAACTTCGGGAGAAGAGGTGCTCCCCTCTTTGGGGGGAGCCGCAGGGACCAGGCCCAAGCGACTGTTTACCAAAAACACAGGTCTCCGCCAAGTTGAAAAACGATGTAAGGGGGCTGACGCCTGCCCAGTGCTGGAAGGTTAAGGAAGTTGGTGGCCCCCTCCTTGAGAGGGGGGAAGCTGGCAACCGAAGCCCCAGTCAACGGCGGTCGTAACTATAACGATCCTAAGGTAGCGAAATTCATTGTCAGGTAAGTTCTGACCCGCACGAAAGGCGTAACGATTTGGGCGCTGTCTCGGAGAGGGGCTCGGTGAAATAGACATGCCTGTGAAGATGCGGGCTACCTCCACTGGGACAGAAAGACCCTATGAAGCTTTACTGTTCCCTGGCATTGGGTCTCGGCCCTCCCTGCGCAGCCTAGGTGGGAGGCACAGAAGCTCTTCTTCCGGGAAGGGCCAAGCCATCCGTGAGAGACCACCCTGGAAGGGCTAAGATCCTAAACCGATGCCCTATGATAGGCGTTGGAACCGTGCCAGGCAGACAGTTTCTCTGGGGCAGAGGCCTCCCAAAGAGTAATGGAGGCGTGCAAAGGTTCCCTCAGGCTGGACGGGAATCAGTTGTAGAGTGTAAAGGCAGAAGGGAGCTTGACTGCAAGACCAACAAGTCGAGCAGGGACGAAAGTCGGCCTTAGTGATCCGACGGTGCCGCGTGGAAGGGCCGTCGCTTATCGGATAAAAGTTACTCTAGGGATAACAGGCTGATCTTCCCCAAGAGTCCACATCGACGGGAAGGTTTGGCACCTCGATGTCGGCTTAACACATCCTGGGGCGGTAGCACGTCCCAAGGGTTGGGCTGTTCGCCCATCAAAGTGTTACATGAGCTGGGTTCAGAACGTCGTGAGACAGTTTGGTCCATATCTAGTGGAGGCGTGAGAGCATTGAGGGGCCATCTCCCTAGTACGAGAGGACCGGGAGGCACGCACCGCTGGTGTGCCAGTTCTCGTGCCAACGGGACACGCTGGGTAGCCATGTGCGGAACGGATCACTGCTGAAAGCATCTAAGTAGGAAGCCTACCCCAAGATGAGTGCTCGTTATTAGGCCCCGGTCAGAACAACCGGACTCCAATCATAGGAGAACAGAGCTGCCATGTGGAAGTGCAGCGATGCATGCAGCAGAGGCAGGCTAACAGGCCGATACACTTGAACCAACATTCGCCCCAAGCTCAAGCTACAAGCACGTGGTTTGCTTGAAACCTCTCTCAAAAAAAGAAAACGAATTGAGAGAGATTCAAAAGCAAGCCCCGTTTCGGAGCGTCGGTGAATGCCGACGCAAGTCATTTTGGTGCCCTAGGCACAGTGGAACCACACTCATCCTATCCCGAACTGAGTTGTGAAACACTGCAGCGGTCAAAATACTATGGGGGATGCCCCATGGGAAGATAGCTAGGTGCCAAAATGACCAAACTCTTTATATATTCCATTAAAAATTTTATGTATTATTATTTATTGAAATTTATTTCCTGAAACTATGCTTTAACAAAAAACTTATTTAGCACATTTTGGGAATTTGTTCCGACTACTAAGATACTCAATATGCTCATATTATGAAAGAGAAACAATTGGCTGGTCCCATTTCGTACGTTATTCACTCCTACTAAGAGCAAATATCGTCAATTGCAAAAGCAGATTTTTTTTGAGTATAATTTGATTTTGTTGAAACAATAGGATTCTTTACAAAAAAATAGTCATTGTTATGACGCTTATAACCGCTTTTTTGATTTGCTTTTCAACTTGTATAAAAACTTTCAATATTCTATTAAAATAAATGTGTGTACCATCTTTCTCTTAATCAGTAAGCAGATAAGCAACGAAAACTGAGTTTAATTCCTTCGATAAGAAAAACTCGAATGAACTGTCTTATGCTCACCAACATATACAATTTTGCCGAGCAAAGAAAGTTTTTGTTTGATTCCTCTCTGATTTGAAAACGACTGCGCATGACATAGATATGAAAAGAACCAATGAAGTTGGATTGTTTAACAAATTTTCTGTTCATATTTAGCTTAGAAGTGCTGCTATTCAATCCATATTAAAAGACTTGCCTATGATCTACGGCTTGACTCCAAAATCCGCACCTGCTGGGCTGCCCAATGCTATGGTTATGAGCATGGGTCCCCAACATCCATCGATGCATGGGGTGCTACGATTGATCCTCACATTGGATGGCGAGAACGTGCTAGACTGCGAGCCTGTGTTAGGCTACCTGCATCGAGGTATGGAAAAGATTGCAGAGGGTCGAACAGTCATCCAATACTTGCCGTATGTGACTCGATGGGATTATCTTGCAACTATGTTTGCAGAGGCTATTACAGTGAATGCTGCAGAGCGATTGGCAAACATTCAGGTACCCGCTCGAAGCAGTTATATCCGAATGATTATGCTAGAACTGAGTCGAATTGCTTCTCATCTTTTGTGGCTTGGCCCTTTTCTAGCAGACATTGGAGCACAAACGCCTTTTTTTTACATCTTACGGGAACGAGAAATGATCTCTGACCTATTTGAGTCGGCTACGGGAATGCGTATGATGCACAACTACTTTCGTATAGGAGGAGTGGCTTGTGATCTTCCCTACGGTTGGGTAGACAAATGCTTAGACTTTTGTGAGTATTTTTGGTTCAAAACAGATGAATACGAAAGATTGATTACTCACAATCCAATCTTTATAAAGCGTGTTGAAGGGGTAGGGGTGATTTCTCGTGAAGATGCTATGAACTGGGGTCTTTCTGGCCCTATGCTTCGTGCCTCTGGTGTCCCTTGGGACCTTAGAAAGGTGGATCATTATGAATGTTATGATCAATTAGACTGGTCGGTGCAATGGGCTACAGATGGAGACTGTTTGGCAAGATATCTTATACGAATTGGTGAGATGAGGCAATCGGTAAAAATCTTGCAACAAGCATTGAAAGCTTTGCCAGGTGGGCCTTACGAGAACTTAGAGGCAAGGAGGATAAACCAAGGACGAGGCTCAGAATGGGACTCATTTGAGTATCAGCATTTGAGTAAGAAGGCATCTCCAACTTTTCGGATTCCAAGCCAAGAGCATTATGTGCGGGTGGAAGCTCCTAAGGGAGAGTTAGGAGTGTTTTTAATAGGAGATGATAGCCCTTTCCCTTGGAGATGGAAGATCCGACCACCAGGCTTTGTCAATCTTCAAGTCCTGCCACAACTTGTTTGTGGTCGCAAACTTGCTGATATTATGAGTGTACTTGGCAGCATTGATATCATTATGGGTGAGGTAGATCGGTAGCCAAACTCGCTCATTCCCAAAAGCATATTTTGCAAACGAATGGGCGCCAACCGTAAAAAATCATTCCCTAGGATTGATTAGGAGATAAGATGAATAATTGGATTCAAGCCCTATCACACCCATTTGCAGGCAGCTTGCAAGTTGGATCTTTTCTATCCACTAGCCTTCTTCTCCAAATCGGATCTTTCAAGCCAATTGAGGCAAAATTCGTTGAACTGATAGGGGCTATAGGATTAATAGTAGGTATTTTATTTTTGCTGTTAGGAGCTACTTTAGGGGTGCTTGTTGTAGTGTGGTTAGAAAGAAAGGTATCCGCAGGTGTTCAACAGCGTGTAGGTCCAGAATTTGCAGGTCCTTTGGGTCTCTTACAAGCCCTAGCCGATGGTCTTAAGCTTGTTCTCAAAGAGGCTGTTCATCCTAGCAGGGCCGATGAAAGACTCTTTCGACTAGGGCCTGCTATGGTAGTCGTGCCAGTGTTCTTATCGTATTTGATAATTCCCTTTGGGCCTGGCATGATGTTGGAAGACTTAGGGGTTGGAGTTTTGTTTTGGATAAGTGTTTCTAGCATTGCTCCTCTTGGACTCCTTATGTCTGGTTATGCTTCAAATAACAAGTTTTCCTTTCTGGGGGGGCTTCGAGCGGCTGCACAATCTATAAGCTATGAGATTCCATTGGCTTTATCTGTGCTTGCTGTGTGTCTTTTATCAAGTAGCTTGAATACCTCCGATATTGTAGAAGCTCAATCCGGCTTTGGTGTGCTGAGCTGGAACGTATGGCGTCAGCCTATTGGATTTATTCTATTTTTAATCTCTTCATTGGCAGAGTGTGAACGCTTGCCCTTTGATCTTCCTGAAGCAGAAGAAGAACTCGTTGCTGGATATCAAACGGAATACACAGGAATTCAATTTGGTCTCTTTTACGTTGGTTCTTATGTCAATTTGATTGCTTCGTCTTTGTTCGTTACTGTGCTTTATCTTGGGGGATGGGGACTGCCTCTCCCGGGCGTGGTGGAAAGAATTGTTCCTGCTGGATTACAAGGCTCACTCCTCCCAGCTCTTGTAGGATTCATAGGTCTTTTCGCAACTCTTCTAAAAGCCTATTGCTTTCTCTTCTTTGCGATCTTAACCCGATGGACCCTTCCAAGAGTGCGCATTGATCAGTTACTAGATCTCGGTTGGAAGTTCCTGCTTCCGGTGTCTCTAGGGAACCTATTGCTTACAGCATGCTGCAAGCTGGCCTTTGTGTAAATACTAAGCCCCCTTTTTTATGACAAATTCGCTATTGTCTTATACTCGCCAAGCTTCACAAGCTGCCCGGTTCATTGGGCAAGGTTTCCTCGTAACCTTGGACCATATGAATCGATCTGCTATTACAATTCAATACCCATATCAAAAGCTTGTTCCGTCCGAACGCTTTCGAGGACGAATTCATTTTGAATTTGATAAGTGTATTGCCTGTGAGGTTTGTGTTCGCGTTTGCCCTATTAATTTACCAGTTGTTCATTGGCAATTTCAACCCGTTCAAAAGAAAAAACAATTGAAGGCCTATAGTATTGACTTTGGAGCATGCATCTTTTGCGGGAACTGTGTAGAGTATTGTCCTACAAATTGCTTATCAATGACAGAAGAGTATGAAATGTCTGTGTATGATCGACATGAGCTCAATTATGATCACATTGCGCTTGGTCGATTGCCCGCTTGTGCAGAGGTCGATGCAATGGTTGAAACAAGCCCAATTCTAGGAAAATAAGCTGCCCTATGAATAACCGAGGGGGACCGGGTGAGTAACAGATGATCGAAGAGAGGAGCCCACACAATGGATATTGTGTTTGATACATATCGATCGAGCCTATTTACTGCCATTGAGCTAGGCGTTTTTTTTGGATCCATAGGCGTAGTAGTTGCTCCTTCCATGATTTATGCAGCTTTTTCCTTAGGAATCACGCTATTATCGATTGCTTTTGTTTATCTTTTATTCAATGCAGACCTATTAGCCGCAGCACAGGTACTTGTGTACATAGGAGCTATTAATGTGCTCATTGTATTTGCAATTATGCTCGTTGGGCCAGCCCCTTTGCTACCATCTCGACCCCTTGCTTATCGGTTGCTATGTTTTGGTGCCGCAAGTGGTCTCTGCCTACCCCTTGTATTCGCCAGTACCGAAGGATTGTGGAACAAAACCAAGCTCGAGATACCAGGAGAAGATGAAATTGTTCAAATTGGAATAGGCTTGTTTGATCGCTTCTTACTTCCTTTTGAGACAGTCTCTTTGCTCCTATTGGTTGCACTGATTGGTGCAATCTGGATTGCTCGAGCACGGCCGGAAATGAAGAGAGAGATGCCCTCTCAGGACAAGCCTCTTCTATAGACTATAGAGTAGCCAGCTGCCCGGGATGAACAACTTTGCTTATGATTGATTTGAACCATTGCCTTGTATTAGGAGCTTGCCTCTTCTGTATCGGCCTTTATGGCCTGTTGACCGCAGATAACACGGTCCGGGCTCTTATGTGTCTTGAGCTTTTATTCAATGCTGTCAATATAAACCTTCTTGCATTCTCAAGCTTCTTAGACACAGTTCAATCGCGGGGACAAATATTTGCTTTGTTTGTGATTACAATCGCCGCTGCTGAGGCTGCCATTGGGCTCTCTATCGTGTTAGCAGTACACCGTGCACGGGGATCATCTCGGCTCAGTTTTCTTACTCTACTGCGTTGGTAACGTTTGGTTAGCAATGCGAAACAAGATAGAATAGATCACCCTGAGGGTTAGGGCTCACGAGCCCCAGGGTCAGCAAAGCGTTCTGATCTATTGTTATTGAACCTCTTGCTCTATGGCACATTCCATTAAAATCTATGACACATGTATTGGTTGTACACAATGTGTGCGTGCTTGCCCCACCGACGTTCTAGAAATGGTTCCCTGGGGTGGTTGCAAAGCAAGTCAAATAGCTTCCGCTCCTCGAACTGAAGACTGTGTAGGTTGCAAAAGATGCGAATCGGCCTGTCCAACCGATTTCCTTAGTGTGCGTGTGTACCTAGGTGCAGAGACAACTCGTAGCATGGGCTTGGCATACTAGTCGTCCCCTCGCTCGGCAGTGGTCCGCTCTACGTTGCTCTCTTTTCAAGCTAGCGAAGAGAGGGCCCTGCGAACG